ACAAGGAGATGTCATCATACACGGGTGCGCCCGGCGGCGGCGGGCAGGCAAACGGCATGGGCAAGATGGGTGTAGAAGAGGATGGCGGTCAGAAGGGCTGCTGCTGCGCGGTCATGTAAGAAGGGAGTTGGCACGCACGTTGAAGGGAGAGAACGATGAAGATACCTCACTCCGCCGCCACGGCCGCATGCACAGGAAACCATGATACTGTAGCACGTACAGGCACTGGCACTGGCAGCCCGCACGGCCTGTCTGGGCCATCTTTCACTTCTCCGATCAGTTTTTGGGTTCGCTTTTGGGGGCTCGGTGTTGACAGGATATCATGCTACTGGACGCGTCTCCACATGGTGCCCGGCATATCTCCTTGCCGGATCGAAATACTGCTATCTACCCGGCGGACATGTGCTGCTCCCGCCGGTTTGCCCGTTTAGAATCTTTTCTTTACTTCCCTTTGGCATTATGGTAAATTGTATTTTCCTACATTACCGGCCGGTCTCTGGTCCTGCGGTGACATGCGGTGGTGGTGTGGCATGCTTGAATCCGAAAACATTTCCTTTCCTTTGCAGTTTCCTTTTACGTTTACTCCACGTACGTCTTTTACTACTGTTGCTACTACTACTACTACTACTACTACTACTACTACTATCCCCTGCTTCTGGCCTACTGCCTCTTCAGAACGCACTATAACTTCTATGAAAATAATTCACCCACGCTTTCAAGACCCCAGATTGCAAGACAACACCGTCGAGCGTCAAATGCAAAGCAACCTACAGAGCACATATACGGTGAACCAGGTAGAGCGAATGAGGCGGTATCTCCTTCCGTACGAAAACTAGTTGGCAGATAATAACGGTGTGATGCTTACCCACCGTTTCACTGGCTCCTTCCGCAACAGGCGAGACTTCCTCCAAATGTCCCGCGGTCACCACACACACGCTATACGCACTACGCACAACATCCCGATATGTCAGCTCTCGGCCCGTACGATTCCCATATGCTCCATTCCGGATAGGTGGAACGGGAACTGAGAGTCGCCTACCTCTTCCGTCCCATGCTCCATCCCCGCCAATCGTATCCGTACGACACCACACCGTTTTGCTGGAGACGCGGGCTCGCTGAAAGTCCAATATTGCGTCTGTGACATTAGCCTATTGTGGGCAGCAACCGCTCACGATTGTACGTCCATGTGTTGTAATGGTTATGCGTCACAGAGGGCTGAGTTGCGTGCGTGTTGGGTGAGATGGCAGAGGTCCTGCCATTCGTATCGGACTCCGGCGCTATATTACCTGGCACCCACCCATGCTACTCATGTATACCGAGACATGTATAGTAAAGGCCGCGGATGCGGCCTCGCCTTCATCGGCGCGCAGTCGGCCCATCCATCTTTGTGGTATGCGAGCTGATTGGACAGAAATGCAACGGTTATTCTCGACCGGTCTGGCCAATGATGGCTTCGTTGGCGTGCCGTTTTTCTTCATGAGGCTAAAGTGGCTTCAAACTTGAAGAAAGTTTGGATATGCACGAGGGGCAGACTGAGCTTTCATGGCATGTGTTGTGGGGGAAGGAAACGAGACGCGGTTGTTCCCCATCCGTGCGCGAACCATTCTCAGCCTATATGGCATATGGGCCTGTCACTTTCTGTGTGCATGCAGCTGGGACGACGGTCTCGCTCGACCGTGTTTGAGGTTGAAGATGACGCTGTTGACTCTTCGTAAAGGGTTGGTGAGTGGGCTAATTCGGGTATCGATACGCTATCGCGAGCATCGAGGTCTAGAGAAACGAGGTGCGCGGAAAGCCGTCCACTTGCGTCGTCATTCCCGTACTAGATGTGCGTTGGAAACTACTACTACAGTTCATCGGCATGCCGCATGCATATTGGCGAGTCGAGCCGGAACACGTCCTCCCAACACTCTCTCTTTCGCAGCCGGCTTCGTATATCTCTGAATAGAGTTGAACAACCAATGTTACGCAACATGATCAGACCGACCATCGGTGAGGAAGTGCCCGTTATCGATATAGACTTCGATGAGGTACGACAGAGAAACGTGGCAGCCCCTCCCCACATTAGAACCCGTGCCTGCATATGATAGATGCTGTGTCTTGCTTTGAAACGAGAAGGTACCCAGGGCTGAGCTGAAAAAGGCAAACTATGGTAACTGACATGTTACATTGATTGACGAATCAGGCGAACATACGTGTTGGGATCCAGGAGTACTTATGCAGGTGGACGCTTCTCGGATTCAGTACGCAACAACCGAGATTCCAAATGACCAATCCTGAAGCCGTCATCTCGATAAAGGGACCGGAGATAAGAACATCGAAACAATCACACTGCGACTAGGTTTGTATTACGAGCGAAGGTATCGATTTGAACCGACTGACTCCACCATCTTCAATTTGTCACGATATATTCAAAGTTCATCCTAGGCACATTGTTTAGTCTTGCTGTGCTCGTCCTAGAACGTGGATGCATTCCCGGCAAACTCAAGGCTCTACCTACTACCCAAAGAGCAGTCTAACAATACTGCCATCTCAACTCCACGTCCCATCACAAAATATCTTGGCCCGTGCCACCTTTGCACCAATCTTACTACCATAGATCCAACGTAAGCGAGGAACGGGACAAACACATCGCCTAAGGCACATCATCCTTCGGCTCGGCTCGCACAAACATCAATTCACCTCGTCTGATAAGATAGGTATCAAGAGCCGAGCCTCGCTTCATTTATCAAGATACCGGAGGATCGGGCGTTAGTGTTTCCCGAGTGGTCGGTAGAAGGGGAAGTGCTGACGAACGGGTTTGAGGTGGGACAGCTGGAGCTGGTTAGGCTTTGGATGCGTATTGAATGGGAAGCTTTCGCTAGGTGTGGTCGGATTGCAAAGGTGACCTTGTTGTTTTGCCGATGATCTAGGGTCGCTGCTAGAGGCTGACTAGATCCAACTGTGCTCATGATGAGTAAGATGCATCTTATTGAAACGAGAGGAGACTTGGGAATACTGGGCGATGGGGCGTCTTTTGGAGAAGAACTTGCTTGCTGCTTTTACCGATGGTGACGTGAGAAGGTACTTTGGAGGATGTTGGGGTTGGGCCCGAGTTCAGCGCCACGTACGCGTAATCTTGAATATATATCAATGACCAATTGGAGGACTAGGAAGGGTACAAGATGAAATTACACTTCACTGCCCAATGATACAAGAAGTATTTTAGTAAACAGTCCCATGTTTCTCCAGTGTTGATTGCTCAGCTGAGTATTGAAGCGCGCACGTCTGCACTGCTCTTCATACTTCCTCTTTTAGAAACCCGAATAATAATGCTTTTCTGGGACCGGGTTCGCGGATACTACCGTTACTTTGAACTAGTAAATGGGTTTCAGTGACTTTACTCTACTTGACACATCTTCAGTGCAGAGGGATGCAAACATGCGATGTTCACATCGAACTTGCACCGTGTTCAATTACTTCTCTTGGATCCTCTGATCGTGGTAGTAGCCGCGATGAAGTGAAAAGCTCTGTTGACTGTGCCATGCCGCACAAAGTCCCTGACCAAATTACAGGTATTCTTTTGCAATAATAACGCGCCCGAATGTTAACTGTCGGCAATGATAAAATATACTTAAATTTTCTTGTCGTCCTTTCTCGCTTTGTCCCACTCCTTTTGCTCCTTCAAAAACCTTTCCTTCTTCTCCACGTACCCTTCATACTTCTTCGCCTTCTCCCACACTTCCTTGAAAATAAGCGAGGCTTCAACCTTATCGTGCTTCCCCTCATGATCCTCACTCTTCTCCAGCTCCTTCCCAGTTTCCTTATCATCTACGACCAAGAGCAAATCGTCAGTGAATGCTCGAGCGCAACTACACCACCATGGGCACACCAGGATCCACATCGACACTTCGTCGAGAAAATCTAGACTACTTACACTTGCGCCCCCCTTTGTGGTTCGCATACCTTTTACTCCTCGTCATCCCCATCTGCAAAAACTTCCTGCACATATCCATACCCACAAAGTCATCCTGTCCATTGTACTCTAGAAACTTCTCGTATATCTCTTGGGAGCTTTTGCGCGCAATCGCTGGTGTTTTGAAGCGCCAGAGAGGCAGTATGGCGGATTTGTAGGGCTCAAAGGTTAGGACGAGGGTTTCGCCCCGGCCGATGCGGTAGCTCATTCGGTGGGCTTTGCTGGTGTTGGGCGGCATCTTAGCATTGGGATCGAGACTCGGGAGCTATTATAATGGAGTTTTTTGCATGATGTTTTGAGATCGTGGCTCTAGTCTAATTGTTGGTGGAATGGGAATATCTATGACGTAGACACTAAAGGAAATGTATGTCGCATGCTATCTAGCTTGCCGCTCCATAGATACAATGAAGAGATTATTGAGTTTGAAACCTTGTATATTGATCGTTTGGTTTGCAAACGAGACTGCCAAATTGAAGGTAGTGGGCCTACGTCTTGAATCTAAGGAAACAATCCCAGAGTTACATATTATGGTAAGCGATTGTATAGATAATTAGACAACAACAGAAAACACCTATCTAATTTAATCCGAACATAAATCCTTAATACCTATTTGATGAGTGTTGCAAATCAATCCGTGTCAGTGATGTTCCAACAGGCCTCTGGACTGGACAGTACGATAATGAAGCAAGCCGCCTTGAGCACAATTCCAACATTCCCAACAAGCACAAATCTTTCCCGACCGAAACCTGATCCAAAACCATTCCAACACCGCGTCGTAATGAAGCGCAAGGAAAATGACATGATAATACACCATTGTAGTGTCGAGCCGGCATTCATGTTCCGCACCCACTCCACATTTAGTAACTTTGCCGGCGCCGCTCCATCCCGCCGAACAAGTTGCCCCACCGTCACTGACGCACACTGACTCATCTACCCACAAAAATGCCACCTGGTACCCCTTCATCTTCCCCTCCACCTGCTTTTCTTTCACAACTCCTATAGAATCCGTTTATTCTGCAAACTTGGTCATGATCCAACAAAACACGGTTGTGTAGTGTAGTGGTGATCACTCCGGATTTTGATTGTACTATCAAAACCTTTCCGGCAACCCCGGTTCGAGCCCGGGCACGACCTTTCTTCTTGGAGTTTCATTAACTTTTGCGGTTTTTTTTGGCTGTGGTGAGTGAGGCATGTCTGATGGTTTTTGGGCATGATAGCCAGCCAGACAGGCAGTCGAAACACGACAACTTTGCTTTTTTTTTGTTAGGTTCCAATTATAATAATTATGTATAATCTCTACTATTCAGTGTCACTTGGAGATGAAGTAGTATGCATATATGTATGTATGTATATGTGTAGATGATGGCTTGAGGCTTTGTATGACTAGCGGTAGTAAAACTATTCCTAGGAATACTACTGGGTCGCACAGATTTATGTTCAAAATACAACGCAGTTGTTATACACTACTTGTTACATCTTACATCTTGCTAGCTTCATGGTACTGCCTGATGGAAAACCACATGCTCGCTGCAGCCAAAACCCCCATCAGAGCGATAGCCAGCCCTATAGCCTCAAACGGCATGACCGGTGGCCTCACCGTCTTCCTCTCCATATCCTTTATCTCTGTCTCAAGTGTCTCCGCCATCTTCTCTTTCGAGAAGACCTCGATGACTCTCTCCCGTCCCCATTTGCCCATGTCCCGGAGTCTCTGCTCACCTTCGCCATCCTCCAGTGCAATGCGCATCACCTCCGTCCAGTCGCCCACCTTGCTCACATCACGTAGCCATCCAGTTTGCCCACTGATGACAGTTTCGGTGGGACCGCCTTCGTTGGCGGCGAGGACGGGAGTGCCTACTAGCATGGCTTCGAGCGGGACGATGCCGAAGTGCTCGTTGCGCGGGGTGTAGACGAGGAGACGGGAGGTGGACAGGAGCGTGGTTTTGAAGGCATTGGGTACGGAGTGCAGGAAGAGGACGCCGACGTCGTCGGGGATCGCTTGCGCGGCGACGACGGTTTTGACGGTTGCATGCTTGAGTGTAAGCGAGTCGGCCAGCTCGCATAGCTCTGTGTATGTTGAGACGTTCTCGGGTACTCGAGGATCGTAGCCGCCTGCGACGACGAGCCTCGCATCCTTGCGCTCCCGGGTGGACAGGCCTGCGAAGGCCTTGATCGCGAGAGCCACATCTTTCTTCTTCTCGAAGCGGTTGATGCTCAGCAAGACCTTCTTGTTCTCCCACAACGGCTTGATCTCCTCGTCCGAATGCCCAGTCTTCGTGTCCACGCAGGGATATATGACTTCGGGCTTCCTGTAATTCAATCTGGGGAAGGCTTCGGCAAAGACGCTCTTCGTGAAACCGCTGTTCACAACGATGGTGTCGCTGCATCCCGTGCTCCAGCTCTCGAGCCAATCAAACGGGCCTCTGTAGAGTGTCTTCAGAAAGCCACCCTTCTTAGCCAGCAGCTTGTCCGGGAAGTGACAGTAGAAGATGACGCGTATGGTTGGCTGCAGTATTCGGAGGAGGGGGATGCCAGCGCTAAGTTGGTCGACGAAGAAGGCGGTAGGTTTGCATTCCGCAAGCTCGTTCGAGTAGAGAGCAATCTGCAGTATCAGATGCACCTGGCGCAGAATCGCACACAGGATGGCAAACCGGTCGAATAGCGCGGGTGGCACGACGGTGTTGCCGCGTACTCGCACATCGAGGGTACCTTTACGTCCCACCGGAAGTCTCAGCTACCTTCGTCCGTCATAAGCGGATGGGAGGCGTAAAGCACAGCGGGGCAGCTCACCGTCGCGGGCCTCGTCAAAGCAGTGCGCAGGATCGCAGTGCGATGTATAGATGGTGACCTTGTGGCCGCGGTTCTGCAGCCCGACAGCGGCGTCGATGACCAGCCGTTCGGCGCCGCCAATGCCGAGGTCCGGGTGGAAGAAGACGACGTGCTCCTCCCGCTCTCTCTGCTCTTTCTGCTCTTGGGAGGCGGCCATGGTGGGATATGCGAGGCCTGGAGGCTCTGCATACGTGTTGCGTGGAAAAGGCAGACGCGAGACATGCGCCTTGCTGCTCTGGGTATGGCTGCCGAAGACCCTGGAATGCCTGCACGGCGCTGGGCTGGTGATATGACCTCGACGCTGCACATGATCGCCCTCTTCGCTGATACGGTGAAGCTGCCGCACGCATATCAAGACTCACTCTTCCCCTCGATAATAGGACGACGATACTATCTACCATGAATGTTGGAGCGTGGTCCAGGCTCTAGTAGCGCAAACGCAATATGAGGCAACCACACTCACGGCCTTGCACCATAACACCACCATCCCCGACCATCAACCACTAGGAAACCATCGTCAAAATGGGCCAGGGCTTCTCCCTCACGACGCTCTCGGCTGGCTCCGCCAATATCGACGTGCCGGAGCTGTCAGACATCCAGTATGAGAAGTCCCTTGGAGCTGCCCGGTTCATGAAGTCGGTCCGAGCGCGACATAAAGATGGCTTGGTCGTCACGAGAGTGGTCATGAAGCCGTATGCGCAGTTCAACCTCGATAAATATGCGAAGCGGTTATGCGGTGCGTCTTTCTCGCTACCATTCACTGGGTTTCACAGCAGCTGACGCCGATATAGAGGAAAGACGGCTGCTCGCGGACGTCCCGAATGCTTTGGGATATAACCGCATTATTGAGACAGCTATTGGGGGCTATCTTGTCCGCCAGTACATTCACAGCTCACTGTACGATCGGCTGAGCACCCGCCCATTTCTGGAAGACATCGAGAAGAAATGGCTCTCGTTCCAACTCCTTTGCGCTGTGCGAGATTGCCACGCCCGCAACCTCTACCATGGCGATATCAAAACCGAAAACGTACTGGTCACGTCCTGGAACTGGTTGTATCTCACCGATTTCTCCGCCTCCTACAAGCCAGCATACCTGCCCGAGGACAATCCAGCTGACTTCTCCTTCTACTTCGACATGTCTGGCCGCCGTACCTGCTATTTAGCTCCTGAGCGTTTCCTAGGGCCTGAAGCGCAACCGGAGGGCGAGGGCGTCATCACGTGGGCCATGGATGTGTTCAGCGTTGGCTGTGTCATCGCTGAGCTCTTCCTAGAATCGCCCATCTTCTCCCTCAGCCAGCTCTTTAGGTATCGCCAAGGCGAATACGACCCCGCCCATTCGCACATCAGTAAGATCCAGGATAAGGACGTGCGAGAACTCATCATCCACATGATACAAGTCGACCCGAACTCGCGCATGTCTGCGGAAGACTACCTCGAGCATTGGCGTGGTAAAGTCTTTCCTCACTACTTCTACGGCTTCCTTCAACAGTACATGCACTCCATCACAGACCCCTCGTCAGGGCGCAAGCCAGTGACAACAGGGACAGAGCATCTTGGAGAACCCGATGAACGCATAGAGCAGATATTCAGCGACTTCGACAAGATTTCGCATCTCCTCACAAGCAACGAAGGGGACTTCGCAACGAGACCCCAGCACTCACCTCCGAATCCCAACGCAAAACTCTTCCCCCTTTGCATCGACATACCAAACTACCAACATCAGGCTACGCCGACGCCGAGTCTTGCTATCGACGACGGCAATCTCATCTTCCTGACCATCGTTGTCTCTTGTCTACGAGGTACAGCTAGAGCATCAGCTCGACTCCGGGGACTAGAATTGCTCCTAGCTTTTGCAGAGAGGCTCACGGATGAAGCAAAACTTGATCGTGTCGTACCTTATGTCGCATCTTTATTGATGGACAGATCCGAGCCGGTCAAAATTGCGGCTTTACGAACAATGACGCAGATCCTCGCCATGGTCCACGTTGTTTCACCCATCAACGCCTACGTGATCCCCGAATACGTCCTACCCCGATTAGAACCATATCTCCCTGATACTGTGACTGTAGTGCCTCCGCTTGTCCGTATGCAATATGCTTGGTGCATTGGCACACTGGCCACTACCGCGGCCCGTTACCTCGACATCATTCAAGCTCTCCGTGCAGGTGGCACTCTTCCATCTTTAGACCCTGAGACGGAAGATGATTTGACATCTTCCGCTCATCGAAACCAGTTCGACTCTGACCGGACAAGTCTGATCAATGCATTCGAGAAACACACAAAGGCTCTTCTCACTGACCCTGACGCTGCGGTACGCCGTGCAATGCTCAAGTCTGTATCGGAACTATGCGTCTTCTTCGGGAGTCCGAGAGCGAATGATGTAGTACTGAGTCACCTGAACACGTACTTGAACGATCCAGACTGGATGCTGAAGTGCGCATTCTTTGAAGCGATTGTCGGTGTCGCTGTGTTCGTCGGTGGTGCAAGTCTGGAAGGCTATATTCTTCCATTGATGGTCCAGGCATTGACTGATCCCGAAGAGTTCGTGGTCGAAAAGGTCATCCGAGCCTTCTCCTCAATCGCTGAGCTCGGCCTTTTCCAGAGGTCCAAGACGTGGGAGCTGGTGGATATCGTAGCTCGACTGACGATGCATCCTAACAACTGGATCCGGGAAGCAGCAGCTCAATTCATATCATCGGCCTCCAAGTACCTATCCGTGGCGGATACGCACAGCATTTTGATTAATCTGATCAGGCCATATCTCAAAGTAGCACCTTCGGATTTCTCTGAACTACGGATACTTGATTCCCTCAAGAGGCCTTTACCTAAAATAATTATGGAAATGGCGTCGAATTGGGCAACTTCATCGTCAAAAGGGTTGTTCTGGATACCGGCTAGACAACAACAAACCTTCAGCTTTGGGTCATCAGATGATACTCTGCCTACCACATCAGGGCGGGAACTAGATCAAAAAGCTCTCCAACGAATGCAGAAGAACGAGGAAGATGAACTGTGGATCAAGAAACTGAGAAACGCCGGAATGACGCCAGAAGATGAGTTCAAACTTGTCGCACTGCGCGAATTCATTTGGAGAGTTGTTCATCGCCGACGATCCGATGCTACGGCCGCCAGTACTTCACGGTTCAATAACATTGTTGCGTTGAAGGATCTGGACATTAAGCCACTCACGGTCCTTTTCGAAAATGCGCGTAACACAATTGAACAAGCACGCAGGACAGGAGCTCCAGATGATGTACAACAACCCAAGACGCTGAGGGATGCACTGTTAGATGCATCGACCACAAACG